AAACAGACACGGCTGGCGAGTCTGGCCTGAGCCAGGTGCTGATGAACGAGATCATGAAGCTGCAGAGCGCGGTGCAGGAGGAGCGGCGCAGGGCGCAGGAGCTCACAGTGTGGCTGCACTCCAAGGAGGACACCCTGAGGGAGATGTGGGTCAGGGACAGCCTGCTCCGCAAGCACCAGGAGCGGGCCCAGAGGATGAAGGAGGAGAGGGACAGCCTGAGCAAGGAGCTGCGCAAGTGCAAGGACGAGAACTACAGCCTGGCCCTGAGCTATGCCAAGCAGAGCGAGGAGAAGAGCGCAGCCCTCATGAAGAACAGGGACCTGCTGCTAGAGGTCAGTCATAGTTTCTCCAGCTTCCCCCTTCTTACCTGGCCCTGGAAAGCTGGACTGAACACCTTGTCTTTGCCAAGGATGCTCCGGTCCAGCATGAAGCACTGAGTATCTTCTCTAGCAGGTGTCTTTGGGGTGCCTAGCTCAGCCTGTAGGCCGTATTGCACAAGCTGTGCTGTGAATGATGACCAGTCTTTCCCTCACTCAAGGCTGCTCTCACAAAGGCAGCACAGGAACATGTACCTGCTAGCACACAGGCGGGACTCTGGTACCCAGAGCACAAAACTTCCTCAGGAAAACAGAGCTGGAAAGAAACTTGCTGGGGAACAGAGAACTGGTTTTGCAGGCCAGAGCTTTCTCCTTGCTCCTGCTGAGCTCTGAACCTTCTTGTAGATTGATCAGCTGAAGCACAGCCTGATGAAGGCTGAGGATGACTGCAAGCTGGAGAGGAAGCACACGATGAAGCTGAAACACGCCATAGAGCAGCGCCCCAGCCACGAGGTGGTGTGGGAGATCCAACAGGAGAAGGAGCTGCTCTTGGCCAAGAACCAGGAGCTGGAAAACACTCTGCAGGTTCGTGGGGTGGTTGAGTATGGACTCAAGGGATTAATTGTAGCAGCCAGGGCAGCGATGCTGCAGTGAAGATTGTAGGGGTCAGCGGTTGCTCAAGAGCCGTGACAGGAGAGAACTGATACGGAGTTAGGTGGTGGCCCTGCCTCACTTTTTCTTTTGTCCTGCAGGTTGCCAGGGAGCAGAACTTTGAGAAGAGCCTCTCCAAAGAACCTCTGGAGAATGACTGCAGCCAGACTGTGGAAGAACGCCGGGAGCTGATGAACACCATTTACAGCCTGCGCAAGGAGCTGCGCCGAGCCAAGGTGCTCCAAGACAAAGTAGGTGCTGCTGTTCAAGTTCCTGCTGAGGGTCACAGGTAAGACAGGCACGTGAAACACCTGCAGTGTCTTGCCTGTGGAGCAGAGCAGCTGCTCAGGAGCAATCCCTGCTGTAGTACCTGTATTTCAGCACTCTGCCTGTGGCAGGTGACAGCTCAGACACCCCATGGAGCTCTGGCCAGAGCAGTCTGTGCCACAGAGCAAGAGTGGGGACAGTCTGGCTTAGACTCTGCCCACAAGCAGGTGCTTTTGACCTTGTCTCAGCAGTTTGCAGAGGAAAAAGAGGTGCTGGAGCTACAATGCACATCTCTGAGGAAGGACTCCCAGATGTACAAAAGACGGATTGAAGCCGTTCTGCAGCAAATGGAGGAAGTGGCTCTGGAGAGAGATCAGGTCATAAAATATTCTTCACAGCTTTTTGGGCAGACAGTGCCACCCTGACTGTGCTGTTGTGTGAATGCCACGTGTTGTCCCTCTGCACAGGCTCTCCTGACCCGAGAGCAGTTCCATGTGCAGTATTCCAAGAACCTGGTGGAGAGAGACGCCTACCGCAAGCAGATCCGGGAGCTGGGGGAGAGATGTGACGAGATGCAGCTGCAGCTCTTCCAGAAGGAGAGTCAGCTCCTGGCCACTGAGGCCAAGCTGAAGAGGCTGCAGCTGGAGCTGCCCACGCTGGTATAACTCTCCTCCCCTCGGTGGGATTGGGAGGCTGAGGACGGGGTCAGACTGTGGCTGTTCCTACGCCTTTGCGCCTCAGCAGCTCCAGCTCATCAGGCAGTGAACACACCTGCCTGAGCCACCATCAAAATTAATTAAAACCATTGCCATGCAAATGCTGAGTATAGAAAATGAAAAGTGTCATGCTTTCTATGACCTCACCCTGGTTTCAGGCATGGAAAAGCTGGACAGATGCAAGCTCAGGCCACCTGTGTTTGTGTTTGGAGCATTTGTGAGGGGTTCCTCAACCACCAAAGGGTGACTCTATTTAGAGACTGGATGTGGGCCATTTGGATGAAATGGGGAGCTAAGTTTTCTGGAACTAAATTAGATATATTTTAATTAATATGGCATCTTGTGTACTTTCTTGAGTGGCCAGACAGGGGTGTTGGAAGCAGCAAGTCCACACTTCTCTGCTTTTTGGAGCTCTCACTCTCCTGTATGTTCCCTTGCTGTCGCTTCCTTGCTTATGAGGAATGATTATACTGGTTTTGTTTCAGACCTCTGACCTGGATGACTCCTCCTCCAGAGATTCCCAGGAAGTGAGTAGGGTGCCTTGTTTACCTTTCACTTTCTTCTGGGATGATTTCATGTTCCTCACCTGTGCTCAGTTCCCCAACTATCAGCAGTTTTCAATGGCTCAGGCTCATTTCAGTGATACCAAAAAGTCCAGAGGCAGCAAGACAGTGACAGAATCTCCCTGTGTCCTGAAGTTCTAAGTGTAGGACACAGTTATGGCATTAGTCAGCAAGATTTGTTGAGTCTAAGCAAATCAAGGGAATTGAATTATTTTGAATTGCTTTTAATTGTCTCTCTGGTGTGAGAACAGGCAAAAATAAGTCTTACCCTGGAGCCATCTGTAGTAAAGAGTTTTACTTAGTTCGTAACTTCAGTGAGGGAGTGATTGTCGCGTTGTCTGGAGGCCAAAAGTATAAAGGAGGACAAAGGAAGCTGGACCTATTAATGGAGGATAAATCCATGATCAAATCTGTAACTCCTGGCTCAGTCTGCTGTTTGCTGGCAGCAACAGGGAGGGAGAAGTTGGTTGTCCTGGGTTTTATATTCCTTTATCTGTTCCTATAGACTGAGGGACAGTTCTGATGTTCTTGCTCTGTTTTTTGCCCCACAGCTTGTTCTTCACAGTCACCTGGATGAAGATACACAGATAGCCAAAAGTAAGGGGAAAACACTGAGTTTTGGAGAGTTCTGGAGAGGATAGTCCATTCTGTTTTACTCTCCTGGAAAATCTAAATTATCTTTTCATTCATTGAGATGGGAAATTTTTCACTAAAACTAAACAGCACTGATCCAAAAAGGCTTTTTTTAATTATTCTACCTTGTTCAGTTCAAAAATATATATTGTAACACCTGTTCACTACAGAAGGAGTTCCACCAAAATAGGGCCTGGTGTGAAGTGTCATGATATTCACAACTTGAGGAGCAGGGAAAAATAAATTATGGATAAAATCATGATTAACAAATTTCTCACAGGGGCCTCTGACATGAATATTATTTTAATGCAATGAGCAGAGGAGCTGCTTGGCAAAGGTTTTTTTTGTTCCTGCTTGAGTTGGAAATGGAAAGCTCTGTCTCTTTCTGAGCATGGTGGGGAACTCCACCATTCTGGGCAAGATTCAGGGCTCAATTAAAATGAGAAGTGACTTGTGATTGATCACAGGATGGAATTCTGAGTGCTTTGGGCTTGGTTTCAGTTCTGCTGTGGACTCTGTGCAGTTACATCACAGCTCTTCTGTTGGAAGAACTGCTGGAGGGAGAAGTTACTTTGCAATGGCAACTCTGACTAAAGCTGTGATGTTTTTTATCTTTCAGAAGATTGCCTGGGAGTACAAAACCAGAAACTCAGCCCTCAAGAGAGCCATCTTCCCCCAAAATCACCAAGTGTAAGAGAATCTTTGTGGGCTCTTCTTTACTATGATTGGGGTTTGGGATCTTTAATATTCTCATTAATGATGGATTTACCAGCTTGGAGAAGCATGTCAGCAGCTCCTGCTTTTCCAAACTCTGAGCACTTAGTTTAGAATCCACTCTCCAAAAAGGGCGAGCTCCGAACAGCAAAACATTTACAGTGGACATTTCTCCATCTGTACATAAAAACTTCTTCTAATTACATTCTGCCCTTCATCTCTGGGTGGGGATGTTTTTTGTAATTGTCTACAGAGTTACTGTTGGTGCAGAAAACAGACTCCCAGAATTGCAGATGTTGAGGGAATAAATGTAGTAAAACTGTGTGAAACAGAAGCATTACCATCCTGCACACACAGTTAAAAACCTGCTAGTACTTGACTCTGCAGATGCAGGAAGCAGCCTGGTGTTAACACGGATCTGATCAAGAATAAATTCATATGGTTTTGGTTTGTTTTTTTTTCCATTTCAAGGAGTGTGGCTTGGCCAATGAGGAACTGGCAGAAAAGGAGAGGAAGAGGATGAAGGACTGCTTTGAGCGTTACCGAAGGTCTGGGCTGCAGTAAGCAGGGATTATCTGGAAATATCCGTGATTTGTATTTCCCCTTTCCTGTTCCCAACCTTGATTCATGGAGAGCATAAAATGAACCACAAAAGGAACTGATACATGCTAACAGTATGAAATGTCGCTTGTTTGTAGAAAACACCTTCTAAAAGTTGTATGTCTGGTCTTGTTTTCAGAAAAAGAGCAATGAGAAGGGCACCCAAAGACCGGCACCATGAGGTGGACTGGGAGAACTCCTCTGGCAGCGACAACACCGACACCGAGGGCTCCTGAGGGAGGGACAACGCCAAGGTCCCTCGGAACGGGACGACACCGACACCAAAGGCCCCTCAGGAGCCAATCTGAGGGGCCACCAGCTTGTGTATAAGGGTGGCTGTGCCTCTCAATTTCACTCACAACGGACTGTTTAGATTTTAAAACCATCCAAACAACCCTTGTTGAAAAGTGCTCCAGTGACACTATTGCGTGGCTCCGACGCCCGCTCAATAAACAGGTTTAAATATCTCCGTGTGAGGCAGGGCCGGGCTGAGCTGCGGGTTAATTACGGGTTAATGAAGGGCAGTGCCCGACACCCTCATGGCCGCCGCCCGCACCCAACATGGCCGCCGGTGCCTCAGGGCCCGCCCCGTGCGCATGCGCGGGACGATGCAGCGCGCGCTGAGGGCGCTGCTCCGGGAGCCGCCGCCATGGCGGCCCCGCCGCCCCCCGCCCGGCCTGAGGGGCCCGGCCCGCAGCGCCCCGGGACAGCTCTGCGGTCCTGCCCGCCCGCTCTGCACCGCTCCGGGACAGCTCTGGGGCCAGGCCCGCCCGCTCTGCACCGCCCCGGGGCCGCCGCCGGCCACGCACTATCGCCTGGTGTACACCTGCAAGGTGGGCGCGGGGCCGGGGGGCTCTAAGGGCACCGTCGCTGGGGTGGCCGGGGGGCTCCTGGTGTAGCTGTTTTCTTAGTTTTAAACTTGCAAAGACTAATTCAGAATGGAAGAGCACTCTGGAGGTTTCAAATCCTTCGTGTTGGAGAAGGATGTTCGGGATCTTGTATGTCTGAGGGTGGAGATCCCACAGTGTCTGTGGATGCTCTTCATTAGGGAGCCACAGAAAGCAGTAAAACCTCTCTCAGCCTTTGTGTCTCGGCCTGAACTCACGACATTGTAACAGGATGGAGCCGACTTAGGATAGTTAGAGGTGAGAGAAGTAAGACACTTTTAATGGCAAAAGTATTTTTGTCTTAAAAGTTCCAGGAATTGCAGTTACCTTGCTCATAAAATTGACTTTGTTTTTCAGGTGTGCCAGACTCGCTCGGCCAAATCCATCTCTAAGGCTGCCTACCACCGAGGGGTGGTGATCGTGACATGTCCTGGCTGCGGGAACCACCATGTCATCGCCGATAACCTGGGCTGGTTCTCCGACCTGGAGGGAAAAAGGTGAGAGTGTCAGCAGGATCCTGCTCACACCCTGCTCCCAGGCGCAGCTTCCTGAGCTGGTACCTCGTTTCAGTGATTTTTTTTTTTTTTTTTTTGAAATGTGGCTCATACCAGAAACAGAGTTTCATCCAGTTTGTTAAAATACACAGACTCTATTTTCAGTTACTATAATTTCCAGACTGTTGCTGTCTGGGATCCAAATAAATTGGTGTGAAGCTGCAGCAGAAGCTGTGGGATACACAGGGATCCTTATTGCTGCCAGTAGGTGATTTGTTGTTCCCCTCAGGCCTTATCATTTCACTGCTGGGTTTTCTTGGATGTTTCAAGTGTGTAGATTGATCTGCTGTGGAATTCCAGTGATTTCTAACTTCCTGAGATACCTTTAAAAGCTTCTGTTTAGCTGTAATTGTTAAATTATTGATCCTAGTGGATGAAAGTACTCCCAGAAGGTTGGGGTGGTTTTCTGTGGTTAATTTTGGGTGGTTTTCATGGGGATGTGCCTGTGATTCCCTGTGTAGTGTCAGTCCTGAGGGCAGAGTGCAGTGAGCCTTTGCTGTGGTGTCACTGTTGGTTCTCAAATCACTGTCCAGGAATATCGAGGAGATCCTGGCTGCCAAAGGGGAGAAGGTGAGACGTGTGGCTGGTGAGGAAGCCCTGGAACTGCTGCTGGAAAGCTCGGCAGAGCCCGGCCCCCAAGGTCAGCTGGCAGAGGGGGATGGCGGGGAAGCCCCCCCAGATCCTGGCAACAAGGGACACACCTGACCCGAGGGACTGTGGCCTGTGGGACAGATGTGACACGTGACATTGTGGCCTGTTGGACAGACCTGCCGTGTGGGATTTGGGTCATTCTGCTTGTGGCAAGAGACTGTTCACCTTCATTCTCTGATTTCAACTGTTTGTTTTTAAAATAAACTTGGGCTTGGGTTTTCCCTGTAGTGTCTTTGCCTGATGTAGTTTGCCTGTGATGAAGCTGGTATCTTTAGAGATGGTTGTGGTTTTTTTTGGTATTTTTCCTGGTACTTGTTTTGCTGACTTTCAGGCAATTTCCAGTGCCTCAGCAATGTCCCATGCCTGGTTTTGTTCCCTGCTGAGAAGGCAGCCGGTTGTTCTTTGTCTATGTGTGTTTGACCTAGCGAGATGCAGCTGGAGCTGGAGGTTTTAGGGATGCTCAGGTGTGGCAACTGAAAGGGAGCAATTGATACGACCTGCGGAGATAGGTCCCAAAATTCTAAAGCTAAAATGACCCTGCAGGAGAGTCAGATCACCTGCTTTTAATGCAGCCAAATGATGCTTTTATCTGTTCTTTTGACATCTTCCTGAGTTTTGTTTCTGTGCCACTCATGTCAGGGTTGAAAGTTTTGTATTTTGATCCCACTCGAGCTCCAGCATGGGGGTTTTACAACTCCTTGTTGGTGAGAGGGAGTGTGTGGGTGTGAAGGCAAAATGAATAGTTGTGGAGCATGGTGGAGAGAAGTAGAGGACCTAGAAAGTTGTCTTGGCAGATATTGAGGGGCTAATTAGTGCTATTGCAGTATGTTAAGATTAGTTAGAGATTTAAAAAGTAATGAATGACAGATGTAGGAGTTTGTCAGCACGCAGCTCTGGGGTAGTGGTGGATCAGGCACTGAGGTGATCATGTTGTGCTTTGTTAGGGCAGTGGAATAGCTGCTTTCTTAGGGTTTTCAGCTTGCCAAAGACTAATTAAGTTTGGAAGAACCTTCTGGAGTCTAATCTGCGTGTCAGAGGAGGATATTCAGGATCTTGTGAGTATCTCTAAGGGTGGAGATGCCACAAGTTCTGTGGATCCCACTCATCACTGAGCCACAGAAAGCAGTAAAAGCTCTCTCAGCTTTTGTGTCTTGGGCTGAGCAAACCCAGTTCTCACAGCCAGGCAACTCCAGGTGCCTGTGGTGCTTCATCAGCCAAGGATTCAGTGAGGGCATTGCAGGCATTAATGACTTTCCTTCATCTGGAGTGTTCGTAACAATTTTATTTGTGTTGCATTGTAAGTGTTGGGTCAGAGCACCAGGGAAGTTCCTGTGGGTGTGTCAGTGCAGAGTGATGAAACAGGGGCAGCAACTTCATCAGCCAGCTCCTGGTGAGACACGGCTCTCCCTGAAACAGCCAGCTGCTGGAGTGACCCAGGATTGCTGTGTTCTCCCCCTGAGCTGGGCTGCTGGCACCTATTAGCACTGCTGGCAAAGTGTTTGTTTTATTACCTTTAATCTGAAAATCAGTGTTCTGCTTCCATGGTGCTGATACCTTTGATGGGGTGGAACAGAGCAGCTGTTGCAGGATCTGTGTTGCCTTGGAAACAACTAATTTACAATTTGGCTTTTTTATACTGTTTTCCTTACCTTTCTTACCTGTTACTGGGCCCCAGCTACAGGAAGGTGGTGTGAATTTTTGCTGTGTTATAGTAAAAAGTGTAGCAAAATCTATGTTGGCTATTCCTAGATTTTAGTGTTCCCTTGTCCCAGTGCCCTCTGTCACCACGTGCTCTTTGGGGGCAGGACAGAGGCAGGTCCCTGTGCCCTGGGGCTCCCTCTGTAGCTCTGGGCATCCTGGAGGGTGGCAGTTCTTGCTGCTGCTCTGAAGGTTCAGGCCAACATCAGGGGAGGGAATTTGCACACAATACAGAAAGTTTTCCTTCTAAGAGATTTCAGGGTTTCAACCAAATGTTTTGCTCCCTTTCGAAGCTATTTCTTCTGAAAAATGTTGTGTCATGGGGCAGTGGGTTTGTTCTGGAAAGGGGACACAGGTAAGCACATGGACTTGCTTTAGCCAGAGGCGGGGAGGGAGGAGAAGCAGCCTTTCTCCCGAGTGCCTTTCTCCAGGCCTGACATCAGCCCTGTCTTGTGAGTGCCTCTGGATGCTTGTGTACAGCTGGGTAGGAGAGGGCAGGATCTCGTGTTTCTGCTGGATTTTTAGGATTTTTCCTCACGAGGACCTGCCCTGCACTGGGGACAGCTCTGCTCCCAGTAACTCCACAGCTGCAGCAGCAGCACTTCACGGGCCGGCAATGCCGCTGCTCTCCAGCGGATGTCAGCATCTGAGAGCTCTTCCCGATGTGGGAACGAGCCTGGCAGCGTGGGAGAGAGGAGGATACAGCACAGCAGCCGCTACTGCTGCTCTGGAGACTCAATGGTAGCCAGTGCCTTCTGCTCAGAGTGAGCCTGTGCTGCTCAGGATGGAGACACAGGAGGTGAGACACCATCACTCACTCCCAGGGCTCACCTGCTTCTGGGCATCTGAGCCTCTGCACACCTGGGTTCTGTCCCCAGGTCACACACAGGGCTGCTGTGCCCAGGCACGCAGAGGTGTGAGAACACCTGATGAGAACAAGCTGGTGGCTCTTGATTAATCTGTGATCAGGGCTGGCAGTGGCCAGCACAAATGAGCCAGACATGGGAAACCCAGCCATGACTTGGCTTCATCTTCACAGGGCTCAGGATCCAAACTGCTGCTCCCAGCCCAGTCAAACAGCCTGCTCATGGCTGCTGTGCTGCTGCTGTGTGTCTGCTCCAAGGGCTGGTGCCAGGGCTGTGCCAAACACTCCCTGCCCTTGTCCCCTGGCTCTGGGGAACAACCCAGCTTTGGGCCAGGCGCCGGAGTGGCACCAAGACCAGGCAGGGCCTGAAAGGAACAGCTCAGCCTCTCCTCAGCCATGCAGGGCTGCTCTGTCTGCCCTGTAGTCCTGGAAACTTCTGGGCAGGGAATTCTCAGGGCTTTGTGCCTTCCCTCCACAGCCACATCCATGCTGGCAGGCAGAGCTGGGATGGTGGTGGCTGCCAAGAGCCCCCTGTGCTCATAGTGTAAAGCAATGTGGAGGTGGGGTGCACAACACTTTTCTTAGCACAGGTGGTGGTGTCTGTTACCAGAGACCACCCCCCCCCATTCACCCCCATCCCTATTCCAAAGGGCCAGGATTAATCCTGCTGTCAGCCAAGAAATAATGGAAATGAGTATTTGCACTGAAGCTTAGACACAAATATTTATTAAGCACAATTCCCCCCACCCCTTCCCCTTGAGCTGTACTCATTTCTAATATATTAATCCATTTGGCAGATTATTTTTTAGAAAAAAAACAAGTACCTGTGGGTTGGAAATTCCCCATTAAAATGACATTAGCAAATGCACATGTAAAAAATAAATAAGCTCATACATTCAAGTATATGGCAAATAATACCTCAATAATACCTCTGAAAGCTTAATGGTCAGGTTCCAGTTCACCACCTGGCTGAGAGCTGCAGAGGCCTGAGCCTGCAGCTGGTCAGGTACTCATCATCATTGTTTTCCTCTTTTACAAATGCCAGCTTGGCTGGTAGGTACAGGATGGGCATCTCCTCCTCTCCTCTCTCCAGAGCTCTGCCCAGCCCCAGCCAAGCAGCAGGTGAGTGCTCCCAGGTAGCAGGTAAACTGCAGCTACCACTCCACATGGTCAGTGCAGGCAGGGTAAATGCCCCATGAGCAGCATCACTGGTCTAAAAATATCTCCCTGCTGGTTGGGAATGTTTCCATCAAACGCATTTTGAATGGAAAGTGCTGATTTATTCTCTGCAGGAACGACGCTGCTTCGGCACAACTCGGCGCTGGAGTTTCTGAAGTCCAGCATAGTCTCTGGTCAAGCAAAGGAAAAATACTGCACCTCCTCAGGTCAGGTCCCTGCTCCCCTCCTCCAGCTTTTCCAGCTGGTCCAAAAGGGGAAGAAATGACAGTAAATGTGAGTTCTCAGCCAGCCCCCCGGGCTGGGGCTCTCCTGAGGCTCCAGTGGCTGGAGACAGGCGGACAGAACCAGAGTGTCTCACTGCGAGCAGCTCAGTGCTGGCTCAGGGAGAAACAAGGGGAGGGAAGGGCCCTTGGCCCAAGCTGCTGTTGGACACAGAAGGCAGGAGGGACGAGCCATGGGCAGAAAGGTTTGCTGGCTGTTGAAGCAGGACTCTTGTCACACACGGGTTCTGTCTTGAACACCCTCACATCGGCTCAGTGGGAGCAGGAGCCATCCCTGCTTGCCATCGGCTGAACACTTGGGGCAGAGACCTCTTTCCTCCTGCCCAGAAACAGCCCCTGCCATAGGGCTGCAGTGGGCTCCAGAGGTAACAAATCCCGCTAAAGCTCAGGGTGAGTGAGGCTTTGCCCTGCTCAGGAGGTCCTGGCAGGGCTACAGCTGGAAGCAGACAATGTCCAAGGCTCTCCAGAGAGTCCTCAGCAAACCTAAAATACACTCAGGTGTGTGGGACCACGATGCAGCTGGGGTGGAGTAAGGTTTAAAGGACTTGGGCTCTTTTTCTCCTGTAGAAGGAACAAAGCTGAACAAGATGTTCCAGTGAAGAATCCAGAGCCATTTCTGTCAGGGAAGACAGGAGGACTTAAAAATGGAAAAGGTATTCTTCCCTTTCCCTGTTCAAATAGAAGTGTGGAAATAAAAGACATCAAGGCTGGAGTTAACTACCCCCTGTGGGCTGCTCCTCCAAGTTCCTGGGGTTTTAGGTGATGAGCAAGGGGCTGCTAAAGTCTTCCAGGTGCTGTGCCCAGAGTTACAGTGGCCAAGTGTCCTAAAAAAAACCCTTATTTAAAAACTCCCCCATCCGTTGGGCTGTCCTGTAGGAACATGATGGAGGTGCAGCTCCCAGGACAAGACTGGGAGCACAGAAGCATTTGGGCTTGAAACCACCTACTCTTTTTCCTTTTTAAAAAATAAAATAAGCTGAAACAACCCCCCCAGACCAAAGCCCAGTTCTTAGCTGGAACCAGGCCTCTGCTGCTCCTCCTCAGCCTCCTCCTGGGCTGAGGCCAAATCCACACGCTGCTCGTCCATGCGTTTGGCCTGGACACGCTGGATGAGGCTGAAGAAGTCTTCGTCGGGCATGGTGGGGCCACGGGGGATGGAGTCTGGTGGAGCACAGCGCTGGTCATCGATCCTGGAGGACT